TATTCCATTGTGCGAATATACCACAGCTTCTCTATCCATTCGTTTGTTGATGGGTCTTTTACTTTTCTAAGAGGGTAGTGTTCTGGGGAGGGAGGGATGGGAGCGGAGAAATGTGCAACAATGAATGAATGGAAATCCAAAGTCTCTGTAAATTTTCACTGAAATTAATAATAAATTTTCAAAAAAGAAAGGAAAAATGAGGAGGGCATTTCAATAGATATGGCAGGTGTTCCAAAGGTCTTAGTACTATTTTCAGCTTTGGTATCTGTGCAAGTGTAAATGCTACTAATTTACAGCTTAATTACTCATTTAAAGCTTAATTACTTACCCATTTAAACATCTGAAATTTTTGTTCTGGTTAATATCTGCCTTCTCAAAGAGGGATTAAAACAAAAAATTAAAAGTATATTTAAACTTCACAGTTAAGTGTAAAAAAATCCTTTCAAATTTTTTTTTTAATGGTGACAACAGTAGCACTGTATTTTTACACAAATAACATGTGCCTTCCAAATTTGTTTGTGCACTGCTCTCTGCCTCCAAGAGATAGTTTCATAAATGCCTAATATGTCAATTTTCTCCATACATTGCTGTTTTAAAAAGTTAACATGGCATTTACAAAAACACCTAGGGGGTAGGGGTCAGCAAGGGAAAGAACCATAGCGGGTCAGTGCTATCTGTGTGAACATAGAATGCTTCTGCTGTAGTGTCCTCAGTGTTTCCACTGAAGCATAAAATTGTACTAAAACTTTCTGGACTCTTTTTTATTATATTACCTGCTTGTTATCACTAGACCACCATATTGATTGGAATTATTGAAATATTTTTAAATATATTTATACAAGAGTAAAATTATCAGAATATAAGAAGCACCATTTCTAGTGCACAAGAAATGCAGCACAGACCCAACAGAAGTAGATAGATGAGTCATTAATACTTTCCTTGTTTATGATCTAAACGTGCTGCAATGTTAATAAGCAGTGCTTCCAAAGAATTTGGCTGACAATGTTATCCAGCAGCTTTTTGAGTTAACTTGATGGCCGATAATGCCTGGCAGCATCAATGATACAGTATGGAGGAAGAACCCTTAAATACAAAACAACGATGCTTTTGAAGTGACTTTTTGAGTTGCTAAAAGAGTTCTATGTTACCATAGTAATAGTGCATTGAGTCTAAAGATATATGTAGCAATATTTAGGAGGTGTGACGGGGACAAGAAAAACATGAAAACATAAGTTATATCATTAGAGTCTTTAAAGTCTAAAAAAATTTAACTGTTAAAAACCTCACAGTTCACAGCTATCAATCTATACAGTAAGCAAATATCTGTGTGTAGGTCAGGAGCTTTCACTTTGGAGTGGTTTTTGTAAGTCTGTTTACATTTTTAAAAAAAGAAAACAGTGTTAACTGACATGATCCCATTCTTTCCTCTGGTGTGTAAGTCTCGTGGTCCGCTGAGTATCTTGATTTGCGGTCTTTCCTTTAAATGAAAATACAGAGTTTGCTGGGTTTTGAGCAGGAGAGGTGCTATTTCTCCAGTCTTTGTAAGGGTTCATGATGTGACAGCTTCTCTGTCTCCCTCTGAGAGCGCTGACTACCAATACAATTAACAGCACTGAAAAATCTCCTCGTAGCAGCTCTGCACAAGTCTTTGTATTTGTTTTCTCACCATCTAGAAATGGTCTCTAAATTCTGTGCCCTTTCTTTGCTAAGAGGAGAAAACAGAAAATTCAAGTTGTTGTCACCTGCTAAGGATCGAAGATCAAAGTAGCATTTGGCATAACCACTTAATTTTAAAACTGAAGTAGCTAAAAAAAAAAAAAAAAGCCTTTCCATCTCATGCATGTCCTCTACTGCAATGTTCTTAAGAATCTGGCAGTAATCTACGTTTCATACAGCCTGATCGTCCCACACCTTGGAGGGAAGAAAAATAACTCCCCAAGCAAGTCTTTTCCCGTGGGGAAAAACTGTAGATCTCAACTCAAGTTAAAAGTCTTTCTAAGTAAACCATAGTTACTATTTGCACATTCAGCTGTTTGTTGTGCAGCACTGAAAAGAGAAGATGAACAAATCTCTAAATAATGTTCAGGATCATGCTTAAAGTACTCCTCTGGAAACTTGTCTCGTGTGAGTGGATGTGATCTCTCATCAAAACTAGCCAAGACCTATTTGCGTCCCTGTTCTTCATGTGGTGGTATATTGCTAAGAGCACACATTTTATCATGGTTCTAAGATTAGGCTGGCTGACTGTGCTGTCATCCAGAAACACTGTTGAGTGTGAGCTATACTTTTTTAGTAAGCCGCCCTGGAGATATGTGGTTTGAATGATTGCTCTTCCTCTTCTCTCGCACATCTGTCTGAGATTTGCTCACAAAAATTGTGCTTGCCCTTTGACTGTCAGAAGAGTTTAATACGGAGCATCCCGCGGTCGCCAGGGTCAACCTCCAACTCATTGATTCCACAGCTGGCAGTGGGGGTCACACCGCACACAGGCAGCACGGGCTCTGCTGGGCCTGTGACGCACTCACAGCAGCGGCCTTGCCGCTCATCTCCCTGCACCAGCCGTTGCACATATGCCACCTCCACCCACGTGACTAGTCTGCCCAGTTTTGGCATTTTTCCAAGTAGTCCAAGGAGTAATAAAATCCGCTGATAAAATTTTTGCTCACATTTGAGTACATACTTAAAAACTGATAATTGTACTGGGGGTTTTGTTGTTCTATTTTAAGGGGAAACTAACCCCAGAATTCAAAATTCTAAGGCCTATGTCTGGCTCATCGAAGAGAAACCATCATTGTCATTTCCACAGAGGTATATAAGCCTATGGGCCTTGTTCCTTATCCCTTACCCCATTGTCCGGCAATGGGTTTCATAGGCTTATTTTTCACATCATTTCTAAAGGGACGAAAAGCTAACCTAATGGTGTACGAAGTATGAGTGTGAAATGACAAAATATCAATGTTTCTGTAAAAAAAAAGTTTGAACTTTTTCTTTTTTTAGTGTTCGCTGTATGCTGAAGCTTTAAGTACAATATAATTTAAGCAAGATCTGAAGCATATCTCACCAACTGAAATACCTTCTGGCTAATTTTGGAAGAATTATCACACAAACCTATTTCTCCCCAACCTTGTCTTTGATTTACTCAGCAGTGAACTGGGACCTGGCTTCTTCCATCAGCACTTCTTCTAAGGAATTCTATCTTGTCCAGTGTGATCAAGAATTATCCTCCATTTTAAAGCTGGATTAAGGTTGGCTTGATTCAATCAATTACCAAACCCTTCAAAAGAAAGCACCTCAAGATGCTTTCATTTTCATGGTTTCCTCTGGGCCTTGCACAATGTCCCTCTCATACCATGTAAGCCTGTACATGAAATCCATTTCACACCAAGAAACAGAATTCCTCCTGTGGGCGTATTTAAAAATTTAAAGGCTGAGGCTGAAGCTTGACAATGTTAATTCAAATAAACACATGAATCCAAATAAAGCCAAATGAACATCAAATATAAGGGAAATTAATCCAGAAACATTTCTACTGGTATTTCATTTTATATAATCGAATCTCAAACCATCAGTAGTTCTCATTTCATGGTTTCATAATTAAGCTATCTGACCAACAGAAAATACAGCAAAGAATCTTGTAATTCATCAAGGTCCACACTCCCTATGAGAAATTTCTGAGATTAAATAACAAAATGGGTTTTAAATTCCATTCCTTAATCAAGGGAGGAAAAGTGTAATTAATCTCTTACTATTGTGTCACCTAGATTTATTTTTCCTCTCCAAGAAGTGTGTAAATAAATGACAAAACTCACTTGTTATTTGTATTGCAGCATATAACCCTTTAATGTGTCACTCTGCCCAAGTCCTTCCGACATTCTTGAAACTAGGGCTACAGTTAAATCTCCAGATATAGCTTCGTTCTCTAGAAACACATAAAATCTTGAATCAATGTCTTCACAATGATAGGCACAACAGGAAATTCCTTCCTAGTTAGTTATTCTTCCCACTGGATCAGAAAAATATTCCTAGCGAAACTAAGAAAAGGAATCCCATTTTCCACCTAAAACAAGTAAATCAAAAAGCCAAATCAGTTGCTGTTTAGTTGATTGACTCATGAAAGCCCCACGCACATCAGGGTAGAACTGTACTCTATATATGGTTTTCAGTAGCTGATTTTTCAGATAGCGAAGTCTTTCATCCAAGACACCTTTAAAAGAAATTGAAACTTAAAATGTTCAGTTAACTGCTAAGTATGTTACCCATTTGCACTTGCCAAGAAAGACATTTATGACTTAATATAAGCCAGGAACATGGGCTGCTTCCCCAGTATATCTCTCTCTCTCTCTCTCATTATGGCTATCACATGATGTCAAAATACTCTCTCTGAGACTCAGATTTCCAAATTTAGAAGAAGCAGTACAAAGGAAGCAGCTTGTCCATCCTTTCAGAGTGTCTTGATTGCTGCACATGAAGGAATTGGTTCTGTCAAATTTATTCACCCTCTATTTAGGATGATGGCTCCTTCTTTCCAAATCTGAATTTCCATTCACAACTCTCCTCTTTTGTTCCCTCAAAGCAACTAAAGCATCTTTGTGCTCTGCCTCCAAATTAACAAAACCGTTACAGCTTGGAGGAAGCTTCAGGTCTTGGGAAGTCTGAGCTTTTCCAGGAATATTTTGCTTAAATAGCACAAATATTCTTTGCCGAAAAAAGTTCGACTCTTTGAGTTCCACTGAGTGAGTGACTATGTTGTAGTTCGTTCTAAGTGTCTTCAGTCTAATCACAAATGTAGATTCGTTTCCTCTCTCCTCCTGGTATGCAATCAAATATAGTACAGAAGTCTGAGGACTATCTACATTACTGTATACCCATTAATAGTTGTTACCTACATTAGGGTCCTATTTGATTCCCAGCATCATGTCTTATACACTTCCGGTGAGCTTCCTATTGACTTTGTAGTCAACCTTTAAGCTCCACCATTTTCAGTCACATTTATGTGGCCTGTTCCAACCCTCCTTTGCATTGCCAGGAACTGCACTCCTTGCCTAGCAACTAGTATGGGACAGTTTATGGCTTCTATGAAAGCTTTCCTCCTGCCCAGGATCACAGTAGAAGTTTGACCTCCACAGAATGAGAATTTTTCACAGTTCTTCCTGTAAGAAGCTTTACATATTTTCAGATGTTTTTTACCTGAAAACAAGAGTATCACATTCAAAACCAGTGGTGACTCAAACAATAGTAAAATGAAGTATGTTCATCTGGCATACAAAAAAACAAATCCATCACTGTCATATAGATTCAGATTCATAGCAAACATATAGGAAATATTAGAAGTGCCCTACAGGGTTTCCAAGGCTGTAGTCATCAAGAAAGCAAACAAGTTCATCATTCTCCCATTAAACATTAAGCAACAACCAGTTCAAACTGCTAACCTCTAGGTCAGCAGCTGAGCACTGTAGCCAGTGTGTCACCAGAGCTCTCAGTAAATAGAACTCTCACTGCTACCTAGTCAGAACCAATACATAGGGTACCGTCCTTTGGGTTTGCCCCATGTAAACCACAGAAGAAGACATTGTTCATCTTTCTCCCATGGAGCCTTTGGATCGGCAGTGTGACTCCCTGTGAGCCATGTGAACTCCGTATTCAGTCAATACAGAACTCCTCTATAAATAGTTAATATATACAAAGATACCTGTTTATAACCTGTTAGTTAATGTTACTTGATGGTTTCAAATAATACAATAAGCTCAAATTCAGGCCTCGAGTTGCAATACTTAAGAATGCTATGGCCAGAATAAGAAAGATTCTATTTGCCTGGTCTCCCAATTCTAAAATTAGTATGATTTGTTATCTTATAGAAACTCACTTAAACATGGGGGGAAAAATTCTTTTTTTAATCCTTTCAGCATTTTAGCTATGATGTATTATGTTGTTACTGTTGTTAGGTATCGTTGAGTCGTAGATGACTCATAGCGACCTTATGAATGAAAGGCCTGAGCACATGATGTATTATAGTCAATTTAAATTACATTATATACATTATATAACATGGATTTATAACTTAATACATTATTAACATCATGTCAGTAAAAGTAAAATGAACGATATTCTCAAGGACAAATTTCCAAGTATAACTAGGGAAGGAAATCACAAAATCAAAATGTTATCAGACAAACTAAACTCTCCACAAGCAATAATGTGACAAGGTAAAACATGAACTTTGTAAGCAAACAGACACCAAATCAAATCTTCACTTCTTTAATGAATAACCAAACAGTAACAAGAGGTTAACTCTATTATCTGTAAGAGGGATTGTAAACCTACCTCCCAGGGTAGTGATAAAGATTATGCACAAATGTTGTCATTGTTGTTAGATGCTACTAGTCCAGTATGACTCCTAGTGATCTTATGAACTACAGGTCTGAACCTCACCCTATCCTGGACCGTCTTTATGATCTGTGGCAGTCCAGTTCATTGAGCATCGTCCTTTCTTTCACTCTCCACTTTTTCCAGCATGAAGGCTTTTTCCAAAGACTAGCCCCTCCACACAACATATGCAAAGTGAGACAATGTTTCACCATTCTTGCCTCTAATAAGCACCTTGTGGCACTTCCTCCAAGACAAATTTGTTTGTTCTCTTGTCAGTTAGGGATATATTTTATTCTCTTCTCCAACACCACAATTAGAAGGCATTGATTTTCTTTGGTATCTCTTGTTTCTTGTCCAACCTTCAGACGCATAGGAATCAACTAAAAGATTACTTGAGTCAGGCGCACTTTAGTCTTTAAACGGACATTGCTTTGTTGCTCTTTAGCACTGTGGAGAGGTCTTGGAGAGGGAGAGCAGATTTTTCCAATATAGCACATCTTTTTATTTCCTGACTGCTGTTACCATGGATGTTGATTGTGGATTCAAGTCAAATGAAATTGTTGACATCGTCTCTCTTTTCTCCATCTATCAAGATGTTCCCTGATGGTCCAGTGGTGAGAATTTTTGTTTTCTCAATGTTGAGATTCAATCCATTTTGAAGGATGCAGTGCTTCAATTTTCAATTTATCCAAGTGTTTCTAGTCTTCTTTTTTAATTTTTTACAAGCAAAGTTGTGTCATCTGCATAATACACATTGTTTATAAGTTTTCCTCTGATCCTGATGCCACATTTTTTGTCATATAGTTCAACTTCTTGAATGTGCATATACTGTGCGATATTCACTAAAATAAATTCAAGGCTGTAAGTCTTTCTCTTGAAGGGTAACTGTGATTGGCTATAAGCCCGACGTGTAATACAGTACATGTAGTAGTACACGACTAGGGATTCTTCATTAAGCACTAAGCAGAAATTAATTTCCATTCATTAAATAAAACCAAGGGAGCTATAGTGTTGTAGTCTGTGAAGAGTTGCACTTCTAAACCAGGAACCATGTCTTTCTGGAATCAGGTATCTTAGAAACAAGGTACTTGTTTCTTTTTTATATTTTTTTGTTGATTATATTTATAGAATACACACACACACACACACACACACACACACACACACTGTATCCCAAGGGTAAAAATGAATGCTGTTAAAATATATTACAGAGAGGCAGAGAGGGCACTGTAACTGTCTCATAACTAGCAAGAGGTTGTCACTTAACCTAAGTAGAAACATCACCCTGAAGAATCAATATGCAGGGCACACATACATCCTAATCTAGTAAAGTGATAATAATCTTGCTAAAACTTATTTGAGTTATGATTTTCTTAAAACCTGTCTTAAAAAAATTATTTTAAAAATCTGTCTTACAGGAAAAAAATGACCATTTACTCTCTAACCCAACATCTCCAATAAATTAAAAGAACAGCAAGAAAACCCGACACCCTTTAAAAAAACTGAAATTATAAAAATTAGAGCAAAAAAATGAACTAGAAAACTGAAAAACAATTGAAACTATCAACAAAACTAGGAGTTGGTTCTTTGAAAAGGTCAATACAATCAACAAACCACTAGCAAAACTAACAAAAGAATAGAAGGAAAAGACACAAA